ACAACACCTGGGTGAGTCAAAGCTAGTAATCACCGTCGTCCTCTCACCATGACGGCAACCCGAAGTTCACTGGGAGTTCTGTCCGGTGGTATTCTCGGCCATTTACAGAGCTTCCACCCCTGCAAGGCCAGTTCAGTGTCATAGAACCACAATTGCCCTCTCACTGCAGTGGGAATCCCCACCCAAAAACAAGCCAGTTCCATGAGGGAGAAAAAAACCAGCGCCTTCCCAGCCGTCCAAGTCCAAGTCCCAGCTCACTGATCGCTGGTCCTGGGCAAGGTCTCCAGATGGAACTAAGGGGCCCAGGGTTCAACAGCCCTCTCGGGGGGGGGGGAGATAGAGAAATCATATAGGGTTAATACCCCAAGGACCCCTCATGCCCAAGGAGTGCCCAGAAGAAACAATAGGCACAGCCGATGTAGCTCCAGCTTGTAGTCCCGGCAGCAACCAGCAGAGAGCAGAGGTGGTCCCTTTGATGTCCCATGGGTACAGCAGGTCTCGTCAACGCCGTTGGACTAGTGTAGTAAGACCTGGGCCAGCGAGCCACCTCCAACTCCAGCTCCCTTCGGCTCCGCCACTCCGGCTCTCGCTCCCTTCGTCCAACCAGCCTGGGACCCCGCAGACTTCCCAAGTGACCCTCTCCGACACTCCTGGAGAGGGCCCTCGCCGACCTCGCTCCTCGGCCTCTCAACGACCTGGCCCGCTGACTTCGCCACTCCAGCCTCTCCAGGGCCTCGCAGCTCCATCGCCGACTGCCGAAATCCATTGCCAAGAGGCCAGACACCATTTGCAACTTGCCGAGCCCCGCCGCAGCCATCGGTCTCGCCCTCGCCCTCACTCTCACCCAGGCAGCAACAGCGAGCAGGTTCAAGGACTCACGATGACCCTCCGGTCCGCCGGTAAATCATCTCACCGCCCATGTCGGGAGGGGGGTAATAAACAACACCCCCCAAACAGTCCTGTTTTAGCCAAAAATCACTCACCCTTGGCAGAGGCTCAACACGCAGTGGCCATCTTGAAGGCGGAAGTTGGTCATAAATGGTTGGTTTTACTATTAATACAGACGCTTGTTGTTCAGTGAGGATGAGCAATCAAACCGGGATTCCGGGAAGTAGTAAAATTTGCATTACTACCCTTATTGTGGGATCTCCCTGCTGGATGGAAGTGGATATGGGGTCGGCAACAACAATTGTATCCTGGCAGACTCTACAGAAATTGGTGCCACACGGAGCCGAGCGGAAGCTTATGCGTAGTCGTATTCGTTTGAGAGGTTATCAAGGAAATAACATCCCCATTAAGGGTAGCAGAACATTCCAAGTAGAATATAAAGACTTCTCTGGGCCATTTAAATTGGTTGTTGTTGAAGGTGCACTGCCTAGCCTCATGGGACTGGATTGGTTTGCAGAGTTGGGGGAGTTTTGAGTCATCGCCTTCCAGACAATCGTGAGGCTCCAATAGCGTTCTTTTCCAGGACATTATCATCTGCCAAGAGGAACTACAGCCAACTTGATAAAGAGGCATTGGCTGCGGTGGCTGAAATTAAGAGATTTCATGAATAAGGAGATTTGATTTAGTGACAGATTATAAAACTCTTCTGGGACTAATTGCGGGGGACCGGTAAACACCGCAGGTCCTGTCCCCAAGAATGATGCATTGGACAGAGTTCTTAGCAGCATATAGTTATTGACTTATACATCAACCCGGCATAGAACTGGGCCATGCTGACAGCCTAAGCCAATGTGGCAGCACCCGCCCTCTGGAATGACCTACCGCCTGAGATACGCACGATATCAGACCTCCGGACTTTTCGTTGGGCCCTGAAAACACACCTATTCCATCTAGCTGGCCTGGCTTGATCCCATCCTCTCAGTTTTAATTGAATTTGGTTTTAATTGGGCTGTTTTTAATATTTTGGGCCGAAATTATTTAATTGTTTTTTAAATTGTTTTTAAATTTTATATGCAATGTTTTATCTTGGCTGTACACTGCCCCGAGTCCCGCAGGAGAAGGGCGGTATAGAAATAAAATTATAATAATATAATAATAATGTCCACTACCTAATCTAGTGGAGGATCCAGCTCCAGCAGCATCAGTACTGTTGATTGAGACCATGCTGTCTGTTCTTATTACGACCACAGATGTGGCAATCCAGTCAAGAAAAGACCGAACGATCATGCAAGTGTTAAACTGGGTGTGGAGGGAATGGCCTAAAGAGACACAGAGTGTAGAGTTTAAGCCATTTTGGGCAAGGCAATATGAACTTTCAGCACAGAAGAGTTGCCTATTGTGGGGGAATCAGGTAGTGATACCCTCAAGGCTAAGGAAATCATTATTAGAGACTCTACATGAAGGCCACCCCGGAATTGTAAGGATGAAGGCATTGGCCCGTAGTTATCTGTGGTGGCCAAATATAGATAGAGATATTGCGGAGTGGGTGGCGTGTCTAGCATGCCAGGAATCGAGACCGGCACCTCCTGCAGCACCACCACGGGACTGAGAAACACCGAAAGGCCCCTGGTCTGGAATACATCTCGATTTTGCAGGGCCAATAAAGGGGTTGTCATTCCTAATTGTTGCGGATGCCTATTCCAAATGGCTGGAGGTGGCCAACAGCGGATGCTGTTGTTAGAGTATTAAACAAAATGTTTGCGACACATGGGTTGCTGGATGTGTTGTATCGGACAATGGGCCGCAATTTACAGCAACAGCATTCGAGGTATTCCTAGTAAACGAGGAATACGTCACGCTCTTGTCACGCCATTTCACCCCACGAGTACTGGGCAGGTGGAGCGAATGGTGCAAATGATGAAAGAGGCCTTGACTCGAATGGGTCCAGGGGACTATCAGGAGAAACTTGATAAGTATTTGTTCAACCAACACATCACTCCCTCTGTAAATGTCAGATGTGCTTCCTTCAAAGTCCAGGAAAGAATGACCCAAACTCCATTGTTTATAGAGAAAGGTAGTTTTACTAGAGATGAAGTGAACGCAACCATAGGAAAACAGAATCTAAGGCAATACGCGTGAAAAGTGCATATAGAAAGCACCCCCTCCCACTGTCCACCGTAAATCATCCAATCCAAAGGTCTCCCAGGGATCAGGTGGAAGCACACATCTGCCAGCGTCATCAATCAGGAATGTCACGACTGTTGGCCCAACGGCAGCTTCAAAGATACAGTCCGGTGGCTTAACTATCAGTTTCGTTTTCCTCCTCCAGCACGCTTCCTCCCCCCCATGCTACCTGCTCTCCCCCCTCCCGTTACTATCGCAGCCAAAGCAGAAAAGGCGGAGGCTGACAGTAACCACCGGAAAGAGCCCAGCCAAATTACTTATGGGTCGCCGGCTGAGAACAAATTTAGTTAGAATATACCCTGATTATTTGACAGAAACCCTCACAGACTGGGAAAGTACAGTCAGAATCTTTGAGCAAGGTGATCTAGTATATGGCCGGAATTATACCGGTCAACCCATATGGGTGCCGGCACAGATTACAGAAGTTACGGGCCCCTGTTCATACCGGGTGGAGCTTGAGGATGGGTGCCTGTGGCGCCGACATATCGATCAACTTTGGAGCTGAGTGAGGGGGACAGCCGTTAGAAAGCTGAAAGAAGTAAACCGGGGTGGGAATCCAGAAGAGCGAGAGAGATGACAATGCAGTGAAAGGGTATCTGAAGGGCTGAGGCCAGTGCAGAATGAAACACCTGTTATTGAGGGTTCATTGCTGCGGAGCTCGTCTCACTTTTCCCTATCTCTGACTGAGGGATATGTTCGGGAGGGGGGGAGAGAGTATTTGTAAGCCATCTGATGTAGTTGAAGAATTGTCGAGTATGCAGTCGACGTGTGAGGGCCTGACAGAAATAAGGAGAGCACCAATCAATGCAAAGCCGCCATAGACCAATGTATCTGGATGATTATGTTTGTGGTATATGGACTTTTCCCGAGGAAGGGGGAAGGGGGCTTTCCTTCTGCCATGCAGGTGCGGGACATATTTTAAAGTTATTGGTTAAAGGCTGACAGTTTTCCTTTAAAAGGGGCTGTCAGCCGGAAATTGCATGTTGGTTTTACTAGTCATTATCTGCAATAAACATTGCTGCTGGAAGTTTGGCTTCTCGTCTGTGTTCCTACACCCACACATTCCATTGGCAACGAAGTTGACAAAAGTTATCTTGCTGGTTTATGAAGTAGGTTTCAAACCACACCTAAACTACTCTCTTTAATCAGCTGTTTGATAGTGTCTACAACATGGGTCTGCTATCTTTAGAGCTGATGGTCAGATCTGACATTTTGATATCATGTCACAAATGATCTCAAAATAGTTGACATGATTGTGGACGCTCACATAAAACATTGCTTTCCAGACTCAAATTTTATAGCATGCTGGCTTCTAATGTTTCTAAATTAAAAAATGTGAATTGTTCTTTTAAAAAATGAAATAGTTGATTATTTCTAAAAGCAGGTCAGGTGGTCTCTGTGAGCACCACACTGAGAACTCCTAATGTTAAGAGTTCTTCCTCTGAAAACTCTCAAAACTGGTATAGAATAGTTTTGGGAAATAGACAAAGAAGGAAATGAATTAATATAGAACTGGAAACAAAGACCTTCCAAAAATCCTCAAACAACCTAAGTCTATGTGTTTATATTTACGGGTTAAGAGACTCAACACTGGGAGACTGCAATTCTGGAGTGAGGGTACTTATAGAGTGAAATGGAGGTTTGGACTGCATTCATTTGAGTCATACCTCTACTCCTTGTTCTAGACCAGTGGTTCTCAACCTTCCTAATGCCATGACCCTTTAATACAGTTCCTCATGTTGTGGTGACCCCCAACCATAAAATTATTCCTAAAACCATTGAAAATATGTGTTTTCCAATGGTCTTAGGAGACCCCTGTGAAAGGGTCGTTTGACCCCAAAGGGGTCGCGACCCACAGGTTGAGAACCACTGTTCTAGACCCTTTCACAGTCCTTCTGACCTTATTATTTTTCTGGCTCTTTCTTCAGCTTGCTGCACAGGTCCTGGAGGAGAAAGGCATTGCTTTTGGATTACTGGATTCTAAGAAAGATGCAAAGCTTGCAAAAAAACTAGGTAAGTGTAATCCATTTTTCGTTCTTCACGGGGGTGAGAAATTCCAGCACCATGTTTTGTTTTTTTTTATTTTATTTAAAAAGTTTTACAAATACATCTCCCCAAATTCCCCCCCAAAACCCTTCCTAACCCTCCCCTCCCCCCATGACTTCCTCAAGATAAAATCCAAATCAAAATACATTTTTTGAAACTTAAACCCCTCCACCCCCTGTGTACTATTTATATCTTCATAGAACTCAGTTAATCTATCCCTACATAATACATTCAGCTAAAAGATATCTGATATTTCCTAGTTTGATATTTATTCTGCACATAATCTATCCACTTTTTCCACTCCCATACATGAGTTCGATCTTTTAAATATGCTGAAATCTTCACCATCTCTGCAAAACTGGCCATCTTCAAAGTCCATTCTTCAATAGTAGGCATAACATCATTTTTCCAATATTGACCTATCAATAATCTCGCTGCTGTCACCATATACAATATCAGCTTTGTTTCACCCGATGTAAAACCCTTAACTATACCCAATAAAAACAGTTGTGGAGAAAACTGAAGTTTTTTCTTCAGAACATTTTGCATAACCCACCAAATTTTTATCCAAAAAGCCTTCGCTTTCTTGCAGGTCCACCATATATGATAATATGTGGCATCTAAAAAATCACATCTCCAACATTTTGGTTGAACATTAGGATACATGCACGATAGTTTCTTAGGATCTAAATGCCACCTATAAAACATTTTATAAAAATTTTCCCTCAAATTCTGCGACTGTGTAAATTTAACATTCTGGACCCATATTTGTTCCCATGTTTCCAACATCACTGGTTCTGCAAAATTTTGTGCCCACTTTATCATACAATGTTTAACCAGTTCATTTTCCGAGTCTCTTTCTAACAAAACATTATAAACCCTCTTAATATGCATTGGACCTTTCTCTTTTATATGTCTAACCAATTCTTCTTCATGCATCATTATACCAAGTTTTTGATCTTCTTTCCATCTCAATTGGAGTTGATTATACTGTAGCCAAGTTAAATTAATCCCTTCTTCCAACAGTGTTTCTAATGTCTTTAGTTGCCATCTGCCCCCATCCATAAAAAGAACTTCTTTGTATAAAACCCCCCCCGAGTGACATTATATTTGTATTCCACATAATATGACCAAGATCCAGCCATAACGGTATTTTGTAATCCCATTTGAGTCGGTGCTTCTTCCAGACTCTCATCAAAGAGTTCCTAAGTATGTGGCTTTTAAATACTTTGTCCACTTTGTTCTCGTAGAATAAATATGCATGCCAACCAAATTCAAGATCATGACTTTCTATGTTCAATATTCCAGTCTTTATCCTTCCAAACCAATCACTTGCTTGCATCAAGGCCGCTGCTTCGTAATACAGTTGCAGGTTTGGAAGTTTAAGGCCTCCCCTTTCTGGGACATCTTGCATAATTTTCAGTTTAACTCTCGGCTTTTTCTCATTCCAGACAAACTTATTCACTCCTCTTTGCCATTCACTCAGTTGTTTATCACTTTTGAGCACCGGAATCATTTGAAACAAAAAAAGAAATCTAGGCAAAACGTTCATCTTAACTGCTGCTATTCTTCCAAGTAGCGACAATTGCAGTTTTTTCCAGGTCTCCATCTCCTTTTGTACCTCTCGCCACAACACCTCATAATTATTTTGAAATAATTTTGAATTTGAATCTGCAACTTGAACTCCTAAATATTTAACCTTTGATACTATTTCAAAGCCTGCCTTGCTTTCAAGTTCCTGCTTCCGAACTTGTGTCATATTTTTAACTATCATCTTCGTTTTTTTCTGATTCAGTCTAAATCCTGATACCATACCATATTCTTCTATAATGTCTTTCATCTGGATTATTGATTCCATCGGCTGTGTTAGGGTAACAACCAGATCATCTGCAAATGCTCTAGTCCTGTAATCTTCTTGCCTAATAACTATTCCATATAAAGAATTTGAGTCCCGTATTGTATTCAACAAGACTTCTAGTGTTAAAATAAATAACAATGGGGATAGCGGACAACCTTGTCTTGTTCCTTTTTCAATACTAAAATTTGTAGTCAAACTTAATAATAATAATTAATAATAATTTGTGCCATTTGTTGTTGATAAATTGCTGCAACTGCCTGTATAAACTGATCCCCAAAGTCCATTTTTCTTAAAGTCTTTAATAGAAAGTTCCAATCCACTCTATCAAAGGCCTTCTCTGCATCCAAAAACACCAGCACTGCAGAGAACTGTTTATTCTTCTCAAGATATTCCAATAAGTCTATTATTTGCCTTACATTATCCTTCATGTATCTGCCTTCTATAAATCCTGCTTGATCATGATGAATCACCTCTTGAATAACTGGCATTAACCTGTTGGCTAATACTTTTGCAAAAAATTTGTAGTCATTATTCAGAAGAGATATTGGTCTAAAATTCTCAGGTTTTTTAGGACCTGCTTGCTCTTTCGGTATCAATGAAATATAAGATGCTTTCCATGAGGGAGGTATTTTACCCCCTTGTTGTATACTGCAAAATAAGTCTTTGAGGTATTCAACCATTTCTGCTTGTAAAGTTTTATAATACACCACAGTTAAACCATCCGTCCCTGGTGCTTTAGCTGTTTTCAGTTGTTTAATTGCGGCAATAATCTCCTCAACTGTTATCGGTTGACTCATTCTTTCCTTTTGTTCACTAGATATTTTCATAACTCTTCTTTCTTCTAAGTATTTATCTATAAGTCCAGTTTTTATATCATCTTTAGCATATAATTTGGTATAATAGTCTAAGAAAGCTTCTTTAATTAATTTTTGTTGAAAAATTTCCTTTCCTCCACTCTCAATGCTACCAATAACCCGTGTACTCTGTCGTTTCCTCAATGTGTAGGCCAACCATCTGCCCGGTTTATAGCGTTGCAAAATGTATTATGTTTCGCAAATTGTAAGTTAATTGCTGTTTGTTCCGCCATAAGCATATGAAATTGATCTTTCAAGAGTTTTATAGCTCCTCGTATTCTTTCATCTGTTGGATTTTTTATAAGTAACTGTTCTTTTTTCTTTATCTCTGCTTCCATTTCAAGTCTTTTCTTTTGTCGATTTAATTTGTGTTTAGAGTTCATATAAAGGAGTACCCCTCTCATATATGCCTTACTTGCGTCCCACACAATTTCGATAGGGGTACCCTTATTCAAATTCATTTCAAAAAATTCTTTCATTTGCTTTTTAAGTTCATTTAAATTCTTTTCATATCTAAACAAGTTTTCATTTACTCTCCATGATCTTCTCTCAGTCTTTCCCATTTCAATTTCTATCCATACCGGGCTATGGTCAGTTAGAGTCCTTGGAAAAATCTTTGTTTTTTTTGTTTTAACAAGTAAATCAGATGATAATAAAATAAAATCAATCCTAGAAAAGGATCTGTTCCTGTCTGAAAAGAAAGTAAAGTCCAAATCTTTTGGGTTATGTATTCTCCAAATATCTTTTAATTCCAAATCTTCTTTCATATCAAAAAAAGTCTGCGGTAGTCTGATCCTTGACTTTGCCAAACTCTTTTTATCTATTTTGGGATCAATTACTCCATTCCAGTCTCCCATAATCAGAATAGATCTATAATCCCATTGCAATATTTTAAAGTGCAGTGTCTTATAAAAATTTTCTTGTTGTTGATTAGGAGCATAAATTCCAATCACTAAAATTGGACCATTTTCTGTATAAATTTCAATTGCTATAAACCTCCCACAATCATCTGCTTCTATAATTTTAGCTGACAGTCTTTTATTTATGTAAATCACTACGCCATTCTTTTTTCCCAAATTCGAAGCTATAAATTGTGTTCCTAATCTAGAGTTTACTGAGTATTTTTGATCTTGTATTCGAATATAAGTTTCTTGTAGACAAATAATATCATTATTAAATTGTCTCAAATAATTAAATAATTTCTTCCTTTTCTGTGGTGAATTTAATCCGTTCACATTCCAAGACAGAAACTTAATTGTCATCTGGAGCCTCTTGAAGCGATAAGAACATCTGCTGAAGACTTTCTTCCAGGTTGATAGTCTTCGGCTTAGCTCCTCCCATGGCTTCACATGCTTGTGTATTGCCCTTAGCTCCCTTCTTGTCTTGCTGTGGCTTGGACCTTCCCTGTTGTTGTTTTTCTTTAATTTGCTTATAAGCTGCTTGAGTTATACGCTGATCTTTAGCTTCACACATCCGGGCTAGGTCCAAAGCCACTTCTCTTGTATTCTTGGGTATTCTTTCTAGATCGGGACTCCCTACACACGGTCACTCATGCCCTCGTCACCTCTCGTCTGGACTATTGTAACGCTCTCTACATGGGGCTCCCCTTGAGGTGCACTATCAGCATTAAAGATTTTATGATCCGCCTCCTTCATTTTGCTATCTACTTCTAATCTAAGTTCCTCCACTTTTTTATCAGTTTGCACAACTGCATCTGACAGGCCAGTCACCACTGTCATTAACTTTTTAGTCACCTTATCATATTTTTCTTGAACCACCTCTTTAATTTCTTTAATCTCCTGCTTAATTTCCTGTTGAGATTTTTTAAATTTTTCATCCATGTTTTCATTTTGTCTCCTCAAAGCCTGAGCAATAAACTCTTTTAAATTTTCAAGATCAATCTCCTTTCTCTGGCTCTGCTGACTAGGAGGCTGTTGTTGCGGCTTGTGCGTGGGAGATCCCCCCCCCACTGCCTTCACTTCTTGCTTTGTCTGTTTTGAGGCCATTCTGCCACGTAGTCTAACTTTTTCAAAGAAGGAAGTCTTTTTTCCCTTTCTTCCTCCACAGAATCCTCTAAAAGATTCCCCCAGGTTTAGTCAAATTGAAGATAAAGTTAAGTCAGAATCAGGCTTACTTAAAGAAAATTTCCCTTTCTCTTCTCTTGTTGCAGTCAGTATTACTTTGTAGCATATTGAAATGACTATGCAAATCCACTTTCACTTTCAGCTTTCACTAAGGCTGAAGCCGGGCGCCAT